CAGCTGGAGCTGAATGGCCAATGTCTGGTTGTTGGAAGGTTGGTGGTCTAGGGAACCTAACCTGGGATGGCCTGTCTCTGCTCTACATGATCTCTCATCCTCCTTTGGTTAGCCCAGCCTTCCTTGCATGGAAGCCTAAGAATTCCAAAACTTGGCAAGACGGAACAGCCCCAGTTTGCTATTGTTCCACTAGTCAAAATGATACCAACAATCAAGCCCAGAGTCAGTGTGAAAAAGAATTACTCAAGCATGATCAAATTGGTGACCATTATTTCAATAACCAATTACAGTGTGTAAACAGTTTGATTGATTATATTTTCAAGTGTTATTTATAGGCTTAGAATTATCTTGCCTGTTAAATTTTTAAGACTATCAGTTGGCATTTGAAATGCAGAGAAGCAGACACATACAATTTGTGCTGTGGTTTGAAATGTCTAAGGAAGTTTAATCAATCGAGCTTTAAGTGGTGTTAAATGTTTAAAGAGGATCTAATCTGTTACATCTGTGAGTTCAGAGCACACAAGTCAAAGAACTAGTAAAAGTGATTGTTCTTATTTTATTATTTATTAGATTAATAAATGAACTGGAGAACTTTGTAAGTTAAATTTAAAGGTAAAGAAAAACTAGGATTTAAATTTTGCAACTCAACACCAGTTATTGTAAGAAAAATTTCCAAACAGAAATAAATCCTCTCGGGCTTTAGTAAATCTCAGGTGACACATTTATTCAATAGTTTACTCAAAGCATATTTACTGATCATTTGCTGAGATAGGTGCTATTCTAGATACTGAGAATAGGTGGAAAGTGACTCCCAGTCCTTCCTTCATTGAGATTATACACACAGAGTACACCCAGAATAAGTCAAATAAATGACATGATTTCAAATAATGAAAAGATGAACATCAATCACAGACTATTTCCTAATCCCATCTTCCTCACTGCCTAGAATCAGTGACCATTTCCTTCTTTCCATAGCCAAAGACACCACAAAGTTCTCCAATTTCTACCTGATTCTCACTCCTGGTATCACTCTATAGCTTCTTTCATAGTCAATAAATACAGTTTTTTTTTTTTTAATTTTAGTCTCTACATCTCCTCAGGATGAGGCTCTGTTAGGGAAAAGAAAAAAGTCCAGAGAACATGCAATAAACAAAGCAGCCTGCTATTGTTATACACTTGACAAGTGTTCATGGAGCAGCTTGCACATCCTCAGCTACGCATGTACTGAAGATTGAGAGGAGCACAGAGCTGAGGAAGCCAGAACCATCACTATCAGAGAGGATCCATCTTGTAGGCAAGGCAAGACCTAATTTATCCAACTAGAAACCCATTTTAGAGGTTTTAATGGACTTCTTCTTACACTAATGATGCCTTCTACTGGATAAAAGACAGTAACCACATCACAAAGCAGCACAGTAATAACCTAGAAACAGTGCAGAGCCTACAGTGATCAGAATAGTGGTTCAAAATCAGGCTGTGCATTAGAGTCACATGGTAAATTCTTAAAAATACTTAGACTGGGGTTGGGGTTGTGGTTCAGTGGTTGAGCACTTGCCTTGCATGTGTGAGGCACTGAGTTCCATCCTCAGCACCACATAAATAAATAAATAAAATACTTAGATCATCTGAGTCAAGGGTGGGGATGGACAGTTGTATTTTGTAAATCACTCCAGGTGACTCTAACATGCAGCCAGGCTCAAGAGCCCCAATGGCAATTTCACACTAGAGTACACCTTCCCCAGAGCCCGAGGAGGCTCTTCTGGGGGCATGCCTATATGGATGATTTAGGGCAGGGGTCAGCAAGCTAGGGCCTTTGGTCTACTCCCTCACCACCTAGCAAGCTAAGATGGTTTTTACACTTTTAAATACTTAGGGGAAGCAATGAAAAGGGGACAGGTGAAAATTGTAGATAAATTCAAATTTAAGTGTCCAGATAAATTTATTAGAACATGGCCACTCTCCTTTGTTTATGGATGCTATAAGAGCAGAGTTAAGAAGTAATTGGGACATTTTAGTCTAGCAAAGCCTAGAATATTTACTATCTGATCCCTTCCAGAAAAAGTGTGCTGATCCTGTCTTGGAGGGAATGGGGTTCCAGAGTTTCAGCATCCCTGAGTCCTCTCAGGAATTTACCTGCATGGGAAGTTATCAGCCATCAAGTTGGCAGATGTATATGAAGACTCCTTCCTTTCCCACCCTTGTTTTCATTCTCATCCTTCTCCCAGTTTCAGAAGAAAAGTAGGCCCCTCACCAGCCTGGGGTGTGGAAAGTACCCTAGACATGACACAAAGGAACAATCCCAAATAGTAGGTATGTAGTTGGATAAATGGAATTTTTTTTTTTTTTGGCAAGTCAGGTGTGTTTCAAATATTGCCTTTCCAAAACAGCCTCAATCAAATTGTCGCTGCCAAATTATTGTAAGTATTTAGTGAGGGCTATAGATATATATAGTTCAGAGGCACAGCACTCACCTAATATGCAGGAGGCCCTGGGTTCAATCCCAAGCACCACAAAACAAACAAAAAAAAATTGGTGACTGATGGGTTCCTACTTTTTAGCATGCAACTCAGGAGGGGTTAAAATAATTGAGTAACATGGTTGTGACAAAACTAACATCATGTTATTGATGTAAGCAAGTTTTTTAAGGTTCACATCTAAATTTACTTATTTATTTATTTTTGGTTGTAGATGAACACAATACCTTTATTTTATTTATTTTTTTATGTGGTGCTGAGGATTAAACCCAGTGCCATAAGTATTAGGCAAGCCTCTACCACTAAGCTACAACCCTAGGCCTTCTAAAATATTTAAATATAAATTTAACTGAATTTTGTCTCATTTGATGAATAAGCAATATTCGTCCAGACACACATGAAAAAATTAGGAAGAAAAAAATCCATTCACTTCATTAAGAGATGAATTTCAGGGCTGGGGTTGTGCTCAGTGGTAGAAAGCTCACCTAGCCTATGCGAGGCACTGGGTTTGATTCTCAGCACCACATAGAAATGAAATAAATTAAATAAATAAAGGTCCATCTATAACTAAAAAGAAATTCTTAAAAAGAGGCAAATTTTAAATAACAGTTTATTTTTATGTTTAATAATTACTTATCAAGTCAGGAATAGTGAAACATAGGTGCCTATAATTCTATTTACTTGGAAGGCTGAGACAGGACTATCACTTGAGCCAGGAGTTCAAATCCAGCCTGAGCAACATAGAGACCCCCATCTCAAAATAATAATAATATATCAATGTATATATTGTATCTATATTATTTGGCTTAATTATGTACTAATAATTATAATTATGAAATGAGGGTCTCAACACCTCACGGGCTACTGGCCAGAGACCCTCTTGATTCCTACCACTTGGGCCCCTCCCAGGTAGTTCATAGCCTGGCTTCCCTGGGAGAAAGAGGCTGAGCAATACAGAAGTCATGGTCTTTCTGTAACCTTATTTTGTAAGTGATAGTTCATGTTTTTGCCTTATTCTATTATATTCTATTATTCAAACCAAAGCATTAGGTCCTGCCTATCCTCAAGGGGACTGGTATGTAAAAAGGGGTGAATAAGGGGAAGTGGGACCAACAGGAGCCATCTTAGAAGTTACCTACCACAAATGTCAACTTTTACATAACACTTCTCTATATCTGTTTAAATTTAGGGCGAATAAAAACTTAGGGCCTGCCAGAAGTGAGGAAAGGGTGAGGAGTGCTTTGGATAGGGAGAAAAGCCACCATCCCAGATCTGGAAGCTTTATCCAAACAAATGGAAAATACAGAGAAAAATTAAGTGACCAGGCAGAAAGTAAGGATCCAGGCCAGGAGGGAGTGGCAGGAATCCAGCGAAGGAACCCCTGACTCATCTGAGATATCCTAGAGGGACCGAGAGAAGATGCAAAGGGCACACTTTGTATAGAGTGGATATTGAAAAACGGACACTATTCCAGATGGGCCGTGATTTAGGATGGTTCGACTTATGGTTTATGATTTTTCCACTTTATGGTGGTGCAAAAAAATTATCTGCATTCACTAGAAACCGTACTTTGAATTTGGAATTTTGATCATTCCCAGGTAGCCATAGGCAGTCAGAAACTGGGATATGCTGGGCAGAGCAGAGCACCTCTTAATCAATCACCCGTCCTCGAAGGCGAACAACTACAATAATAAGCTAGGGGTACTAAATGCATTTTGCTTAGGATATTTTCAACTTACAGTGGATTTACTGGGATCAATTTCATCGTCGCTCGAGGAACATCTGCACATGTAATTTTAGCTGCGGACAGTCCTTCAGTAGAGATGGAATAAACCTCTTAGGCAATACGCACAATTGGGCGCTATGGAAACACTGATTGGAGACAGGATGCCTACCTCAAGGAGCGCAATCTCCCAGAGTTCCCACCAGCAGGCTGGGAAATGACTGCTCTAAACTCCTTCCCCAGCCTGGAGCTGTCTCTCGCTACCCTGAAAAAGGGCTCGGGGAAGGAAATCTGAGAGACTGCAGAACGAGTGAGAAAAAACTGAGAGGTGGAGGGGAAAATGAAAAGGAATAGGGGCTACGAAAAACAACTTCCCCCTGTCTCGAAAGATAAAAAGGGATGAGGATGTGGCTCAGTGGTTGAACGTCCCTGGGTTCAATCTCCAGTACAAAAAAAAAAAAAAAAGGAAAAATTAAAAGAAAAGAAAACCGAGTTCCTTGAATCCTGAGTTGGGGCTGGACGCAAGTAACTAAGTAGAGAAAGAAGTGTGGAGGAGGAGGATTAAAATCTAATTTGACGGCTTGATGATGAGGACAGAGACTGAGTTTGGGAGTGAATGAAGGCAGGAGAACAAGTGACCGCTCGCCCTGCGGAATTGAGGCTGCAGGTGAGGCGGCGGAGCAGAGCCGGGGCAGGAGAGTTCGGAGGCCAAGCGACTGGGACTCTGTGGAAAGTTGGACAAGAGAGGGACCGCCCCCACCCAAGCCCCGCCCCTTCAGCGAGGCCCGCCCCTCCCAAGCGCGGGTTGAAAGCCGGAAGCTGGCTAAGTACCGCGTACTGCTTCACCGTAACTAAAAGATTCAGGGCGTTTCCGTGTGCGCCCCCAGTCCTGGGCCGCGAGACCTCGCCACCGTGACGCGGCCATGGGGGCTCTGCCCCGCTGGCCGCCCGTGGTTCTTGGACTCCCCATGGGGCTGCTTCTCCTGTATGTGAGCGCTCTGGCCCCGGTTCGCGCCTCCTTGCGGCTGTTGGACCACCCGGCACCGGTCTGTTCGCAGCAGGTGAGACCCCGAAGCGCGCTAGAGACGCGGACACGGCGAGAATACTGCGGGGGCGAGGGCAAGCAGAGGCTGGCGGCCCGGAACTACCGCCAGGGGTAGGACGTGAAATCTGCGTTGGGGGGTCTCATTAGGATACAGGGCGTGGACAAAAAGATCGCGGCGCTCTCGGAGTGGTGGGAGTTGCGGTATGGACGCGGGGGAAGTGGGAGTTGGATGGAAAAAGGTTGCCCGGTGCGTGTTGCACAACCCAACTCGCCGTCGTGAGCTGGAGGAGGGAGCGAAGACTCCGCCCGGGCCAAAGTTTGGGGAAGGAGACCCAGGCGCGCGGCCGGGTCTGGGAGGCTGGCAGGACTGGTTGGAAACCGGCTGCGGTAAAGGGAACGTGTCAGGGGCCAAGATGAGTCTGGACTGGACTCTATGCGGTGCGCTCTACACATATCCTCATTCTCTACCGGGTAGCACAGCGTGACCCCGGGAGGCTGGAGGTGGCTCTTGAAAATTTCCCCTTTAGTTGGTGCACTAAAGCCTCCAAGGAGCCGGGAGTAGAGGACGAGGACTGACCTCAACTCCGCTTCTAGGGGACTTGGCAAGTAGAGCATCCCTGGTGAGCAGGGATGGCTTACAGGACTACAGGAGCACCAAGCAGAGAAACGCGGCAAGACCATCTGCGGAGGAGCAGAGCCTTGAGTTTGTTTTTTGTTTTTTTTTGTTGTTGTTGTTGTTGTTGTTGTTGTTTTTTTTTTTTTTTTTTTTTTGAGATGAGGCCTCGCTGTGTTGCCCAGGCTGGCTTTGAACTCCTGGACTCAAGCAGTCCTCTTGCCTCAGTCTCCCACGTGACTGGAACCTCAGGGGCGCGCCATGCAGATGATTCTTAAGACACTGTTCTTCCCACTACTACCTCTGCCACCAACACTCAGATCTGGGAACAGGGTGGGCACGCTGTGGGATGTAGGCAGATTTGTGATTGTCAAGGAGGATCCCCACACACATATCCCCATCTACCTGTCAGGTAGTTGCCTTGCAATGCAACTTTGACCTTTAAGAAAAAAATGAAACAGCAAAACAGATGCCCCCCCCCTCCTCAAAATACACTTCCTTTCTCCCTTCCATGCTCTTTCCTCCCTGTTCTGGTTTCTCAGCTACTGCCCCCCCCCCAAACCATCCCCCACGTGCCCCTTACTGCACCACCATTGACCCCAGGGAATAATATTCAGTGTCTGAGTCAGAGGATGTGAAACAAAGGGATATTTCTCTTTAATATTGTAGAAGATTTACCAAAAGAGGGTGGAGAATGCCTGTTTTACAGAAAAAAAAAAAAAGTTTTAAATGTAACCAATGTTGGGAAATGTCCTTTTGATTTCTACTGTTGGCCAAAACAGTAGACTCAAAAGTTCATCGGGTCCTTCCTGCAGATTGTGTCCCAACATGGAGGATTTGGTGTTCCTTTGTAGATGGCCATTTGTCAGGTACCTGCCAAATACAAAGTACTATGCTAGGAACTGAACCTGTAAAGAAACAATCCTGGGCCTGATGCAGTGGCACACGCCTGTAATCCCAGCTGTGTGGAAGTCTGAGGCAGGAGTTCAAATCCAGCCTCAGCAATGGCAAGGCACTGAGCAACTCAGAGAGATGCTGTTCTAAATAAAATACAAAAATAGGGTTGGGGATGTGGCTCAGTGTGGAGTGCCCCTGAGTCCGATCCCCAGCACCCACTCCCAAAAGAAAGAAACACTCCTGTGTCCAGGGCTTAAAATCATCTAGGAGGAATGTTGCTGTCTTAGAAGGCAACCTATAGCAAGCACATTTTGCACAACTGTAAGCATACCAAAGACCAGAGAAAGGAAAAATTACTTCCAGCTGGGCTAGTCCTTTTGAAAAGACATTTTGGCATCTCTGAGAGCTGGTGGGAACCTCCAAGAGGTTGGTTGGAGCATTCCAGGTGATAAAAGGGCCAGAGCCAAGGTCCTTAGGTAAATAGTGTGGCTGGAGTGGAGGGTCTGTGGAGCAGGAAAGTGTGAAAGGAAGTTCGAAGGGAGATAGGGATGTGATATGGGCTGGGCTAAAAGGGTTTTTTATTTATTTTATGTGGTGCTGAGGATTGGACTCAGGGCCTCCCACATGCAAAGCGAGCGCTCTACTGCTGAGACACAACCCCAGCCCCCACCAGCCTTTTTAAAGATAAGCTCTCACTGAGTTGCTTAGGGCCTCACTAAATTGCTGAGTCTATCTTTGAACTCACAATCCTCCTGCCTCACCCTCCCAAGCCCCTGGGATTACAGACATGCCCACCGGCCTGGCACTAAAAGGGTTTTAGTCGTTGTTTTGTTTTGCATTAGTGATCAAACCCAAGGCCTTGCCTGATTCCAGAGAAGACTGGAGAGAAATGCTCATGGCCAGATTTGTCCATTTTCTTCCTTCCTCTTCCTCTCTACTTGCTCCTGGCTCACAGACAACTCATCTCCCTAGACAGCTTCCCTGTCTGTTGACTAGTCATTTTAGAAGAAGCCTCAGGTTGGCACAGTGGTACACATCCAGCTACTCTAGAGGCAGAGGCAGGAGGGTTGAGACCAACCTGGCAAAGTTCTGAAAAAGTCTTAGAATTTTAAAAAAGGGCTGGGAGAGTAACTCAGCTGTAGAATGCTTAAAGCCTTGGGTTTCATTCCCTGTACTAAGCAAAAGGAAAAACAAAAAACCACACCCTTCAAATTCTGACCCTCCCCCGAAGTTTTAGTGTATACAGCATGATATAGTGATGGGAGAGAAAGCCACAAACCTGAATTTACATCCCAACATCACTTAGAGTTTCTGTAACCTTGGGCAATTTAGGCTGGATCTGTGTTCCCTCATTTCCACAATGTAAGGAGTGGGTGACCACCTCAAAGTGAGCCACATCATTTTCCAGAATATGAATGCCCAACAAAACCCCGGTTGGACTTAGTCCTAGATGACTCCATCCTAAAATGGGAAGGAGGCTTCTGCATGCCTTTTCTTCTCCTAGCTCAAATGCAAGCACAGGATGTGGAGACTTGACAAATATGCATTGAGTGAAAGAACAAAAGAATGAGCCCAAGGAAGGAGTTATTAGCTTTGCTTGAAAAGCAGCCATAAACTGAGACCAGCCCCAGCACTGGTTCTGTCTGCCTGGATTTAGCACCTCAAAACCCTGATGACTGATTTCCCCACAGAAACCAGTCCTAGAGACACCATAAGTAATTGCATTTCCCTCTTTGGCTGGCTATCCCCCTGCCTGGGCTTTCTTGCAGGTTTCCCAAGACTGTCAGACTGAGGAAAGCCCATAAGCAAAGACAGTGACAACTTGGAGTTGGTCAGTAAGAACGTTAAACTCAGTTTCATAGACAGGATATACATTTCGTTAACAAGTTCTTTTTTCCTGAACACTTGTGGTTTTCACTTGTGGTGATAGAATGACTGTTTGGTTTAACCCTTTTATCCTCTGGTTGCCAAAAGCCACTTTCAGTTCTACTGCTCTTCCAGACAGTAAAAAGTTGTGTTCTGTGGACACGCTTGCATAGTGTAGACACTGGAGCAGGCAGGACTGGGGACACTGTGTGTGGTAAAACCAGCAATTAGCAAGTCCTGATTACCATGCCTGACTTCTCACCCTGGCTGCTTGCTGCTTTTGCCAGACTAATCTCCCATCAGGAGACAGTGACATCAGTTAGCATCCAGCAAACAGAAGCCTGCATCTTAGAGTAAAAAGACCTGGGCCGGATCCAATCAAGCTTCCCCTATCACCGGTGCCAGTCACCCCAGTGTTAGGAGCCAGTGTCCTCATAAAAGGAGTGATCCTTGCCTCATAGGTTATAGGAGAGCTTTCACATGCCATATCACTCACAGATGAAAGCACCAGGCTGGGCACACTGTGGCACTGCACCAATGTTCACCTGGAGCTTGGTACCAGGAACTGTGTTGGCACATATGCTTTCTTCCAGTACTCATGACAACCTTTGAGATTGGCAGTGCTAACCTGCTTTAGAGAGGCCAGTTACTCTTTTCCAGGCCAACCATCAAGTGCTTGTGGAGCTGAGCAGGACCCTGTGTACAACTTCAAAGCCCACTTTTCTGTATCAGGCACCCAGTAATGTTCATTGAATGCCCAGAGTTAGTGCAATCTTTCATTTCTTCTTTTTAGTCTTCCCACTGTGGCTAGGTCTTCTCGTTTTTCTTCTTCCTTTTTTTTTTTTTTAATATGCTATGGATTGAACTCAGGGCCTATAGAGCACACTAGGCAAGTGCTCTACCACTGAGCTATAACCCTAACCCCAAGATAAGTTTGAAGTAAAGAAATTTGGCCAGGCACAGTGGCACATGCCTGTAATACCAACAACTCAGGAAGCTGAGGCAGGAGGATCTCAAGTTCAAATCCAGTCTCAGCAATTTAGCAAGGCCGTGTCTCAAAATAAAAAATAAAATGGGCTGGGGATATAGCTCAGTGGTTAAGTGCCCCTAGGTTCAAGCTCTGATACAAAAAGAAAAATTAAGGGTAAGGAATTTGTTAGAACAAGATCTTAGTATCCAAAAATAATCCTTAGTACTAATTTTATGTTATTAAAAATGTTATATTAATATAAATTCTGTGTTGAAATTCTAAGGGAAAATATTCACTATTTCTTTCCCTAAATTAATGTTTTTATCTCCCCCCCCCCGCCCCCCCGCATTGAAACCAGGGCACTTTACCACTGAGGTGCATCCCCAACCCTTTTTGTTATCTTATTCTTTTTGTTTTATTTTGAGACAGGGTCTCACTAAGTTGCTCACACTGGCCTCTAACTTCAATCCTGTCTCATCCTCCCAAGTCACAGGTGTGTACTACTGGGCCCAGCTGTTTACCTCATTTTTCAATCTTTTTTCTTTTTTAACAACATTTTTTAAAATTTATTTCTAGTTGTAGTTGGACATAATACCTTTATTCTGTTTATTTTTATTTTTTTGTGTGATGCTGAGGATCGAACCCAGGGCCTCGCACATATGCTAGGCAAGTGCTCTACTGCTGAGCCACAACCCCAGCCCCAACAACTTTTCTTTTAATGAATTAATTTCAGACAAGGTGTTGCTAAGTTGTCCAGGCTGACCTTGAACTTGTGATCCTCCTGCTCACCCTTCCCAGTGCCTGTGATTACAGTCATGTGCCACCATGTTGGATTCATTTTTCAACCTTTTTATCTGTTTAAAGCAACATCATAGAAAAACTTCTTTTAAAACTGGTACTAGGATGTTTCAAACAAAAACTGCAAATCCCTGCCTCACGTCTAACCAGCTCCCCAAGGGCAATTGCTTAAAATTCCTTACTTATTTCTTCTAACGTTTGTCTTCATATTCCTAAATGTACTATGTTATTCATTCTTAATTTGTCAATTGTAGATATTATCTATTTTCGTAGATGAAAATTACATTACCCTCTTCCCTCCACTTCTCTTTGCCATTTTATATTATATCACAGTTTAGTTAAATTGGTGTTTATTAAACAAGTAAGCAATCTTCTCTGCAGAACAGGTTTGTGTCCTTTTGATTATATTTCTTTTTTGATACAGTTTATTTCCACCTATTCCTCTGAGATGATCATTGCTTTAATTTTTCACTTGTATAATTTTCCATGTAACTAGTCTTGGTTTTTTCTATCAGATTTTTCTCATTGTATTTTCCTTCCAGTCATCAAATATTCCATCAATTCCATTTTCCCTTCCCCCAGAGAACTCTCCCAGAGCCCTCTGTCCACCAGCCCCGACCTGAACTGATTCCTCTGTGAACCTATAACATAGCTCTGATACCAGACATCCATCATGGTCAAATCTGCCAACTCCTGGATCCTGTGTCTTCCTGCTTGAGGTTATTCACACATCTCCTGGAGCATATGCTCCTGCAATTTTCTAAGTTTATGAGGGACAGATATAAATATATAATAAACTATGTACATATTTTTTTTTTAGTCTTTCCTGAAAATATCTTTATTCTACTCTCACCTCTTTTAGATAGTTTGGCTGGATATAAGTAGTCTAAGACTTATTTTCCTCCAGCATATTGAAGACATAGCTTTATTGCCTTCAAGCAAACAGTATAGATACTAACAAAGCCAATGCCATTTTGTTTCCTGCTCTTTCTAAGATATTTCACCTGTTTTTTTTCTTTCTGGAAACTCTTAAAATCTCCTTTTTATTATGGTATTTTAGTGTTTTGTGGTATTTGGGCCTTGGTCTGTATCTTTTTTCTTCATTTGCTATATAGGTCATTGAGTGGAGCTTTTTAATTTGGCAACATGAATTCTTCAGCTCTAGAATGTCTTCTTCTTTCTTTTTTCTTAATGATTTCTTCCCATTTATTTATTTTTTAGTTGTTGATGGACCTTTATTTGATTAATGTATTTATATGCAGTGCTGAGAATCGAACATAGTGCCTCACACATACTAGGCAAGCACCCTACCACTGAGCCACAACCCCAGCACCCCCACACACTTTTATTTATTCACTTTTTCATAATCTAGCTAATTGCATCTTATGTTCCCTGAGTTAATTCTCTAATGTTCGTGTTTCTTCTAGTTTTGTTTGTATTTGTTCTAGTTTCAGAGAAATTACCTTGATTTTTACAGCCCAACCCTTTGGTCTTTATTCTTTCTATTTTTTAGTTGTTGATAGACTTTTACTTCATTTATTTGTTTTCATTTGGGGTGCTGAGAATTGAACCCAGTGCCTCACACATGCTAGGCAAGCACTCAACCACTGAGCCACAATCACAGCCCTGGTTTTTATTGTTGAAGTTCGTTTTTAGTCTCTGCTTACTTTCTCACAATATCCTGTCCTTGTCTTATGAATGAAATGTCACCTCTTCTCTCTTTGGAGCTATAATGGTTTTATTTGTTTTAATTTTATTCTGTTTGAAGCATTGTCTTATTTCCTCCAGGAGCATTATTTAAAATTTTGTTTTGATTTATTTTTATACAGGAAACCCATCTCAATTATTGGATACTCCTTGGCTGTCTGAGAATATTTTAAGGAGGATATTAGCTCAGTGGTAGAAGAGAGCTCCTGGATTCAAGTCCCAGTACCACCAAAAAAAAAAAAAAAAAAAAATCCCATTATAATTTTCATATGGTTTGAGAAGAAGTTAGAATATGTACATAGTTCATGCACTGTGACCTTTAAAGGAATTTTGTAGCTGCATTTTGCCTATATGCAAGTTTTTCGGTTTTGATTAAATCTTTTCCACCTCAAATTTCTCTTTCTCTTTATCCCTTTTACCCTCAATAACCAGTGTGTTAACAGCTGATATAGATTTTTCCATGTTTTTCTATGTTCATATAATCATGCTCAACCATATGTAAATATATTAGGAGGCTTTTTCATCATTTATTTCTATAGAAAATGGGATTAAAGTACAAAAAGTTCTTTGCGACATAGTTTCCTCACTCAACAACACAGCTATCTCTCTCGGTTATAGATATCTGTGTAACTAATTCTCCTTAATATTTGCACAATATTCCCTAGGAGATTGCAATCTATTCAAACAGTTCCATTTCAATAGATATTTAGATTTAAACTAGATCTTTCTTTATTCAGCCATTCTTCATTAATGAACATTCTGTACCACAGGAAAAAAAAGGAAAAGTTACCCTTTTTTAAAAAACTAGTGTAAGCTTAATTCTCAAACTTGATAAATCTTATACAGAAGAAGAAAGCTATGGGCCAGTTTCACTTATGAATATAGTTAGAGGCAATTCTAAATAATGTATTAGCAAATTTAATATAGCAGAATAACAGAATAATATACCATAATCTGGTATAATTTATTCTAGGAGTACAAAGTTTGATCCATTATAGCAAATCATCAGTATAATCCATTATATCAGTAATTTGAAGGAGAAAATGTATGAAGCTATGTTCATAAATGCTGGAGAGTATTTGGTAAGCTTTTGGGATGCTAGCTGAGGATGAAGCTCAGTTGGTAGCATGCTTGCCTCGCATGCACAAGGCCCTGGGTTCCATCCCCACACCAAAGGGGGTAAAAGATTCAGGGATGCTCTTAAGAAAAGCTACAGGCATAATAGTAATAGAAGGGAAATACTGGGGCTGAGATTGTGGCTCAGTGGTAGAGTGCTCATCTAGCACATATGAGGCCTTGGGTTCGATCCTCAGCACCACATAAAAATAAATAAACAAAATTTAAAAAAAGAAGGGAAATACTTATACATAGCAATAACTATCGAAAAGCAAGACCAAACAGTAGCTCAGTATGGTGACATACCAAGCTATTTTCATCATTCTCAGGACTAGAGGAGGATACCCACCAGCACCATTGTCAGTCAGCTGTTTTCAGACCTTCCCACTTCCTCTTGGTAATCATGGGCATCATTTTGCCATGGTTTTTAAGAAGCTGCCAGTGGATAAAATGGAATTAATTCCAAATGGAGTATCCATCTGCCTTTTCTAGAGGAGCTCCCCATATGAAGATGATTGAACCAGTTTCTTATCCTCCAAGCCTCCATCCTAGGAGTTTCAAGTGGGAGGACAAAGGACAGGGTCCTGGGAGTTAATCTTACCATTCAGAAAAAAGCAGGCATTTGTCAGAGGGAGAGCAGAGGAAGCATGCTGGCCTCTGCTGAATTTGAGGAGCACCTCAAAGGCTGTGATGCAAGTCCAGGACCAGCAGCTGGGAATTAATACTAGAAGCTGCACAGAGTGCAGGGTCTAGACCCCAAGAGCATGTGTACTGGTGTCCTAAAGAAGAGCACAACAGAGTCAATCTGGAATGTGTCCAGACTGATCCCTATGTCTACTTCATGTATGAGCCCCAGGGGCTCATCTGCTCCCTCCCAGGCCTCAGCCCTGCTCTCTGCTCCTTCTTAAGAGAAGCAAGTGCCAACCCAAATAACAAGGAATAATACACCATAATCTGGTATAATTTATTCTAGGAGTACAAAGTTTGATCCATTATAGCAAATCTTGCACACATACCAAACTACTTTGTTGGTTTTAAATGTGTGCTTTTGATCTGCTTCAGCCCAGAATGAGTTTGGTCCATGTGAGCAGCTAGGAGAACTCAAAGTACCTGAGCCTCAGTTCCAGGGTCTTCCCTTCTGCACTGCCAAAACTGAACACGTAGAAGTCACCCCTCAGAAGAATGGTTTTATATTCTGAGCTCTCCTTCAGGCCCTAAGTTGGATCCCAAGCCCCCGACATTTCTAGAAAGTATATAGGGACTTAGGTGGATTTCCCATAACTGATCTGCTTCAGGACTCATGATTTGGCTCTCATCCCTCCCACCTTTTAACCTTTGGTTATCCAGACCAAAGGTTGGAAGCCTCAAGAGATTTGGAAACCTTTTCACGAGGGTGCCCCAAGACAAACCTCTCAGTGTCTTTTTTTTTTTTTTTTTTTTAATATTTACTCTTAAGCTTTAGGTGGATACAATATCTTTATTTTACATTTGTGTGGTGCTGAGGATTGAACCTGGTGCCTTGTGCATGCTAGGCGAGCGCTCTACCACTGAACCATAACCCCAGCCCCTCTCAGTGTCTTTTAAAGTTGTAAAGTTCCCAGCTTCTAACAGTTACTTATAAAATCTCCACTTCCATTTTGCCATCTATCATGCCCCTTCCCCTTGGTTGGTCAGGATGAAAGAAGGGTGGGGAAAGACCTCCCAGAGAGATCCCCAAATGTGGAAAGGGAGAGCTGTGTAAGTTTTATCCCCACAAATGAGCTTGGGAAGGTGTCTGGAGTCCAGCAGTGCATGGGTTAAGTTCTTTCTCAGCTATAATTACTACCTTCTTTCTTTCCACAGGAGCTAGACTGCAGAGTCAAGAACAGTAAGTCCTCTTTTTTTTTATTCTTGTTGCTTTGTTAATACTGTGATTGGCTTGTGCTGATTTCTGGCAGCATATCTGCAGCCCCTCTACAAGTTCAGGCTGTAGTAATCCCAAACGTGTCCCAGGTGTGGGCACCTGTGCTTCGTATGGAGAACATTTACATGTAGAAGTCGGGTAGTGTCATTTAGATTTTGAAAGTATTCTCTCAAGTGCTGCCCTAGTGTACCTTTAAGACAATTTGATCTGCCACGGCTCTTACTGTAAAGTGAGACATCTGTGGTGTTGGTTGTTTTGTTTTTTGGTGCTGGGCATGGAACCCAGGGCCTCACATAAGCTGGTCAAGCCCTCTACCACTGAGCCACATCCCCAGCTGCTTGGCTTGGTTTCATTCAAGGGTGAGGCACATACTTCTTGTGTCTGTGCTGATTAGGGACCCCGACATGTAAAAATCAGCTCTTACCACTGCCCATGATCCATTTCCAACCCCTGCTTCTACTCAAAACTCATCTCCCTAAATTGCCCTTTAGACTCAGAGCTTTGTGGTTACCCCAGACCAGCCTTAGAAAAGAGCAATCGGACAGTGGGGCTGAGGACCCCAGGAGGGTCACAACTGGAGGGTTGCAAGCTGGAAGGTTGTAGGCCCCAAACCTTTCAGGAACTAGCTCTCTGGGCCTCTTGGGGATAGGAAAGGTGCCATCTCTGATTGTTGCTTCTCCCTGGCTACCAGGTACTTGCCTGGATGACAGCTGGATCCACCCTCGGAACCTGACTCCCTCCTCCCCAAAACACATTGAGATCCAGCTGCGTCTTGCCAGAACCCAGCACGGAGACCTGGTCCCTGTGGTGCACATTGAATGGACACTACAGACAGATGGTGAGTGGGCATGTCAGCCAGGCCCTGGGATTCCACCACCTCCAAGTGAATCCACAGCTAGACATCGCCTCCCATTCAGACTCAGAATTAGGCTCTGGTCCTGTGCTCAGACTTGAAGGCTGCAATTCAGTGCTGGAAGGATCCATCAATCGTTCTGCCAATACCTTTTCAGTGTTTTAGAGGCGAGCCCACAGCAAAATCCTGTCATCACACTATCCTTCATGGAAGACCTAAAATTTTTATTACCCTGGGCAAGTTGTTAATTTTATGAAAAATTCCAGATGTTTACTGGAAAAATAGTAGCACATTTGCCAGCACTTTTTCCCTTAACTTAGGGGCCAACACTTATTAAAACATCCCCTAAACCTAATCAGAGTTAGAGTCTGATTACAGATTTGGGAAGACTGGGGGCTAAATAGAGCCAACCCTGGTGAACAGGTCTGGGGTTGGTTCCCTCTGAGTCCCCAGCCCACAGGCTCGCTGCTCCTTCTCTGAAAGAATGGCGGAAATGGCTGCTGTGAGACGCAAGTTTGCACAGCCTCTGCTGCTGGTCTGGTGTAAAGTGCCACTTGTCCTCACCTAGCTGGGTGGCAGCTGTCTGAAAGGCGGTAGGCTGAGGCAGAGAATGAGCTGAAAGGAACAGGAAGTGGGGGGTTAGGCGAGATGGGCAGGTTTTCCTTTAGGAGTGAGCAAGCCTAGCAGATAGGGAAGTGGCACACCCAGTGGTTTATGCAGCTGCATCTGTTTGTCTCCTCTCCTCCCTCTGACCTTTAGCCAGCATCCTGTTCCTTGAGGGTGTAGAGCTGTCTGTCCTGCAGCTGAACACCAATGAACGTTTGTGTGTTGAGCTTGAGTTTCTGTCCCAACTGAACCATCACCGCAAGCGGGTAAGAAGACAGCTCCTGATCGGATTGTGTTCTTCTGATGACACCAGTGTGACTTGTCCCCATATTGGACCCTAACTTAGAGTAATAAGAAGGTGCTGGAGGGTCTGAGGAATTCAAGATGGCTGCTCCCAGAGAATGTAGTGTCTGCTGTGAGCCATAGGTGGTGGGGGGGGGGGGCACAGCCTAATATTCCCACCCTTGCTTTTTCCTCACATTTTACCTACCTATTCATTCTCCTCCTCTGTTCCCTATCCCCCACCCCAGTATGCTGGGAATTAAACTCAGGCCTCCTGCAAAATGCTCTGCCACTGAACTACCCCAGGCCCTTTGCTATTCATTCTTAAGGAAATTGAATTGGAAGACCACTTCCACAGCTCTACCTCCTGGGTCTGTAACTTGAATTGATCCAGGGCCTGCCTCCAAGAGGAATAACTCCCCAGGCCAAAGACCTGCTATGGGTGGGGTGTGGGTGTGAGTCTTCACAGTTGGGTCTGGTTTTGCTTTTCACAGCTCTAGGATAAAATGTTGGTCTTGTGTAGTTAGTTGAAAGCAGCGACTCCCAAAGCTGTTCCCTGGACCACCAGCAACCCTTGGGAACTTGTTAGAAATGCGTGTTCTCTGGCCCCATCCCAGACCTCCTGGAAAAAAATCTCTGAGGGTGGGGCCCAGCAGTTGGTGTTTCAGGACCCTCTGTATGACCTGATATAGGTGCTAGTTTGAAAAACTACTGGTTTAAATTTGCAGATGATTGCTTTAAAACAAATTAGATCTGCCAAAGACATAAGCACCGAAGGCAGAGCCCCCCTCAATGTTAAGTGAGGACCCCAAACTTGGCTGCTATGTGGAGGGCGAGGACCTGGTGCCTTGATCTACTTAGAAGCAAAGGACCCCCCAGCCCCCTCCACCAGGTCATTAGAATGGGGTTTACTCTGGAGGCTGAGGTGGAGCATCACCTAGGCCGAGAGTGTGAGGGCAACCTGGGCAATTCAGCAAGGCCCTATCTCTCAAAATTTTTTTAAAAAAGGAGTTGGATTCTATATCTGTACTATCTGGAAGGTAGCTCAGTACAAATGTATCTCACTGCAGACCCAGGGTGAGAGGGATCTCTAGCTGTCCCTCTGCTCTTATGTGCTTCAGAACATTCTCCACAGAGACCCCCCACTATGCCTTGTAAGAGGAAGAGTCAGTGAACAGTATATAGCTGCCTCTTGTGTTCCAGGTCCAATAGCCTCAAGCCCTCCAGCTCAGGTCACTTACGCCCATTGTTTGGGAATTCCAGAGAGCTGATGGGAGGGGGAGGGCTGCTTCCACTGTCCACCAGATGTTCTGCAGGGGCTTTTGTTTTGTTTTGTTTGGGTGCCAGGGGTGGAACCCAGGGCCTTGTGCTTGCTGAGCTCTGAGCTCCTGCTCTACCACTGAGCCACACCCCAGCCTCTGCCCTCCTCCTCTGCATTTGACAATGCTCTCTACTGATGAGGCCAGCCGAGGTTTCTTAAAACAGGCAGGAAAGACCAGAGAAAAACAGAGGAAGATACTGTGACTCCAATTTCAGATTCTGCTGTGGTAGTTGTTTTATTCCTACTTCTGACTGGTTTGGGGAGAAGGTAGGGATGGGATCCTGTGGGCCCAGATGGACGACAGGTGTGTGTGACCCACCCAACCTCCCCTCCTCCCTTCTCTTCAGTGGCGTTTCGCCTTCAGCCACTTTGTGGTAGAACCCGGCCAGGAGTACGAGGTGACTGTTCACCACCTGCCCAAGCCCATCCCTGACGGGGACCCAAACCACCTGTCCAAGAAGCTCCTTGTGCCAGGTAAGAGCCTCCTCCTAAGCCATTTCCTCCATCATTCAACTCTGGGATGAGAAGCTGGCAGCAGGGGCAGACAGCAGCCTCCCTGCTGAGTTCAACCACGGCTTATCGCCAGCATGTGGTACCCACAGAAAGAATAGGCGCCCGGGTCTGGGAGCTCCTCAGCATGAGGCTCAGCCTCCACCCCTTGAAGGCAGCCCCTTCTTAATTGGCCAACACTGGATATGGGCCCAGGATCCCAGGAGTGTGATGGGAATAAGAGCCCTTACCTCTATCCAGAGAACTAGCTCGAGCCCAGAAAATGTCAGGAAGATAAGTCACGCTGGGAAGAGCGGTGGATCCTGCTCTCAGCCTAGTTCCAGTCACATTCTTCATTCCCGCCCCCCCCCAACACACACCCTGTCTGCATTTGTCCCACCCATCTCCATTATCCCACTTTCTTCTCTCCCCTCACTGACCCATCCTGCCTGGGATCACTGCCAAGTCTATCTTCTAAAGCATACTGGACACCTTCTATCTATGTCACCTTCTATACCTCTGTCCTCCCCTGAATCTCAGCCATTTCCTACATTTCTTGTTCAAAGCCAGGTACATCTAGAACCTCAGCCCACTGAGGACAAGGTCTGAGTCTTCCACACTTCTGTACTGTTCAGAACCTAATAAATCTTGTTTATGTAGCTGGTTAGGAAATGCTTGTTGGTTTTTGATGCTGAGGATCTCAGCCAGGGCCTTGCATGCTAGGCAAGCACACCCCACAGCACTCTACCCCAAGCCCAGGAAATACTTAAGGATGGTGATGACCTTCTTCTTATACACACACACACACCAATGAATCAGTAAGATTCATTGTTCTCTGATGTGTTATTACATTTTCTAGGTTTGCTTTTAGTGGGCTCTTCTACTGCAGTGTCATCTCCAGAGGGCAGGACTTTGTTTTACTCACTATGGTGTGTTTAGTGCCCAATGCCCAGGACAGTCCAAGTCTCAATAGGTCTTTGTTGAATGAGTAAATCTCCCCACCCCCTCTCCTGTTCCTAAAGTAGACTGACTCATCCTGTCCCTCTAAGGTAGTTCAAACTTGCCACCTGTCTTTTTAAACCAAAGTAAAAGATTATAATCAAGGAGATTGGGGAAGACGGATGCTTTAGTCAGCTTTTTTGCCACTCTGACTAAAAGACCTGACAAAAACAATTTAGAGGAGGAAAAGTTTATTTGGGGGCTCACAGTTTAAGAGATTCCATCCATAGATGGCTGACTGCATTCCTCAGGGCCCAAGGAAAGGCAGGACATCATGGCAAAGAGTACGACAAAGGAAAGTAGCTAGACACATGGTACCCAGGAAGCAGAGAGAGGTCTCCTCATGACAAAATATAAACCACAAAGGTATACCCCCAGTGCCCCACTCCTAGCCACACCCTGATTTTGGTTCCCATCCAGTTAATCCTTATGGGGGAGGAGGGGATTGATTCACTGATTGGGTTAAGGCTCTCATAGCACAATAATTTCACCTCTTAATCTTCTTGTATTGTCTCACACATGACTTTTAGGGGACACCTCATATCTAAACCATAATAAGGGACCAAGAATATCATTATTGGGGACTGGGGTTGTGGCTCAGAGATAGAGCACTCGCCTAGCATGCGTGAGGCACTGGGTTCAGCACCACATAAAAATAAAACAAAGGTATTGTGTCTACCTACAACTAAAAAATAAATGTTTAAAAAAAAGAATATCACTGTTGGGCAGTGATCCTCAGTGTGGTCTGTGGACCCAGCAGCATCAACAGATTGTCTGGGAACTTGTTAGAAATGCAGATTCTCAGCACCCACACAGATCTGCTGAATGAGGAACTAGTGATGATGATGTCCACAAAAGTTTGAGAAACTGCTGTGGGGACCAAAGTACTTCTCAGCCTATAAAAAGGCAGAGGCATCTGTGGGCCAGGAAGCTCCGGGTGGGGAGAGAAAGAACTAGAAGGAGCAAGACTGTGGCTACCCAAAGTGAGCTCAGGAGGCATATACTAGAATCAGGAAGGTTCTCTGAGAGAGAAGGGCTGAGATGGACAGGTCACTGCCAATACACTGGATCTTTGGCCAGTGGCAGCAGTCCAGTCCTGGAGCTTGCTATAAAGGGACCGTCTTTGAACAGTCTTCCCAAGGAACATGATTTTGGCTGCTGTTGCCCAGAGTCTGGAAGAGCAGACTTCCTGAAGCAGAGGCTTAATTGTTTCTCTTTCTGGGTTGGCAGATTGTGAGGACTTCAGGATGAAGATAACCACGCCATGTGTGAGCTCAGGTAACTGGCTGGCCTGGGAGAACTGTACCCAGTGCAGACACATGCACGTGCACACACATGGGGGTGCACACCCCTTCTCACTCCCAGCCCACATCTGCGCCCCTGACAGGCAGCCTGTGGGACCCCAACATCACCGTGGAAACCCTAGAGGCCCACCAGCTGCGGGTGAGCTTCACACTGTGGAACGAATCCTCCCATTACCAGATCCTGCTCAACAGTTTTCCACATATGGAGGACCACAGCTGCTTCGAGCACATACAGCAGATACCTGCGGTAATGGTCACCCCTCTGACATAGCTCCAGAGCCCAACACTGCCAAGTCAGGAGTGGCCTGGGCGCCCAGCGAGCTGTAGAGTTGGTCTTTCTTTCCATCTTTTAGCTGATGAAATAGAGTCAATTCTGCCCTGCCCACCACCCCCTGTCCTTTTTGTTCTTCCTTCCCCCATTCTTCCCTTATTCTCTATTTTGCTGTTTTTATTCTACTTGATTCCAAAAAGGATTTATATGTGTGTGTGTGTGTGTGTGTGCGCGCGTGCGCGCGCACTGGGGATTAAACCCAGAGGCATTTCACCACTGAGCCACATCCCCAGCCCTTTTTAATTTTGAGACAGGGTCTTGCTAAGTTGCTTAGGTCCTTGCTAAGTTGTTGAGGCTGGCCCTGAACTTGAAGTCCTTCTGCTTCCTGTGTTGCTGGGACTACCTCAGTGGCTGGGTGTGAGCCACTGAGCCTGACTCCAAAAAAGATTGAAGATTAAAAAAGAAGAAGAAATGTGGGAATTAAGACAAAGGGGGCCTACAGATAAGAAATAAGATGAAGCCAGGTTAGTGCAGAAAAGATGTGCTGTGTGGTCTGTCCCCCTCTGGGTGTGAACACAGATCTGTCCTACAGTCCCCAGCAGCCACGCAGGGGGGAAATACCAGTTACTACTGTGTTTATCAGTTGACAGCAAACCACTCACCCTGCAGAATGGTCAATTTTTCTGGAATAGAAATCTGAAAAGCGTTTCCCCCTCTGGCCTTCCTGAGAAGTGCATTTGGTCCATGAGGGTGATGTCCCCAAGCTTCTTGGGGATGTGATGCAGCAAGTTCGTATCCAACTGGCCTTTTCCGTCCTCCTCTCTGCAGCCCAAACAAGAGGAATTCCACCAGCGAGCCAACCTCACTCTCCCGATACACAACTCTAACTGGTGCTGTCGCCACCGAGTACAGGTGGGTGGGCGTGATGCACACAGGTGTGGGAGAGTGTGCACAGGTGGGCCTTCCTGCTAGGGGGCGAGGTAAGCAAGGGCAGCTGTGGGCCTGCGCTGTATCGGGCCCCAGCACCGTTCTGTCTGTAATGCCCTGGCAGGGAAGGCACCAGCCTACCTTTCAGCTGCCCTGTTCTCCCAACCCCACCTGGGCAGGGGACCTTTGACCCATTGCACAGATAGGAGATCTGGTTCAGCAGCCCCTGGAAAGATCTTTGGGTTTCTTGATAGAGTGTTTTAACGTTGCCTAGGCCGGACTCAAAGTCCTGGGCTCAGATGATCCTCCTGCGTCAGACTCCTGAGTAGCTGGGGCTACACACAAGCGCCAACACGCCCAGCTCAACAGCCACATGGAGATCTGGCCTAGCCACCCAGGGTCCATTACTTGCAAATGGCCCGTGCTGTTGAGAAAGCATGGGGATGGGTGTATGTTGCCACCTCTCAGAGGCCCTCTTCCAGTTCTTCCTCTTCTCTCCCAGGTCCAGCCCTTCTTCAACAGCTGCCTTAATGACTGCCTTAGACACACCATGACCATCCCCTGCCCAGACGTTCCAGAGACTTCAGGTAGGAGGGACACCTCTGCCCTGGATTGTGTCTGTCTGGGGTGAGGTTGGGTGAAGGTCATCCCCTGGAGCTGAGTCCTGACCTGGTCCTAGGTGTGGCAGAGAGGTGGGGAGGGTGACTTAATTTGAGGACACTCTCCTGAGCTTCACTCCCCACAGCCCTTCATAAGCTGTGTGGCCTTGGGCAGAGTTTGTGGCTTCCTTGTCCTTAACTTCCTTGACTGGAAGATGGGGTTGTTACTAGCACACAGTTACAGTTAGGCACCAATAAAATGGAAGTGCTTTACTTCTTACAAATTGCAAGTCACAGTATGGTGAAGTTGAGACTCCCCACCCCAGGCTCACAGATGAGGAAACTGAGGCAGAGATGTTAAATAGCTTGTTCCAGATCACATGCTAAGGTGGTGGAGAGCCCCAGCTTCCTACCTGAGCCAGTTGCCTACTTCTCCTTCAGAAGCCATGGGTCCCCAACTCCCACAAAGCCATCGCCACATGCCAACAGCAGACATGGCACAGGCTGGAAGAGAACTGGCCTTCCGGGTGGGAGGTGAGGCACCTCTTCTTAGACCAACAACTGAGGGTGCTTCGTGTAGGTGGCTGCATTATTTTTGACCCATATCCAAAGTATTGGGTATAGGGTTAGGGTTAGACCCTCCGTGGACATGAATGATGGGTTTTTTAATTACTGCTAATAATTAAGAACACTCTTTTCTCTTTTTTCTTTTGTTCTAATTGCAGTCAAAATTGCAGGTAAGCTCAGATCCCTTCCCACATTCCCCAGGGGTCAGAGGGGTTCCTGACTGAGCCTTGTACCCAGCCAGGCAGTCAAGGCTGAACCTGAGGCTCAGTGTGTCCTGGTGCAGGCCAGAGAGGACAGAGCCAGGGACTGGGGAATGGCGCTGGGACCCTTGCTGTCACTCACGCTGTTCTGCTCACCACAGAGTATATACCCCTGTGGGTGTATGGCTTCATCACGGGCATCTCTATCCTGCTGGTGGGCTCCATCATCCTGTTGATTGTCTGCATGACGTGGAGGATAACAGGTAAGGAGCTCTGGGACAGGCAGAGGTCTTCCCACTGTTCCTCATTTTTCTCTGTCTTTCCTTCTCCTCCTTTCTTAACCAGTCTCACTGCTAGACCTTCCCTATAAGGCTGTGCTCAGACGGCGCCCTTCAGTTCAGCCCTGTAATCTCAACTAAGTATAGACATTGCCTCTCTTACATTAAACAGTGATCCCAGTTTCCAGAAATCTAGAACATGGCATCAGGCTGATGTGGGCTCATAGACCATTGACTCCCTGGGAAGATGTCTTAATTCTCTGAGCCTTAGATTTGTCTGTTGTAAAATGACAAAGATAATACTGACACCATAAGACTGTTATAAAGATTAAGTGAATAATACAAACGGTATCTCAAAAAAGTCTGGGGATGGAGCAAACCAGATGCCCTTTAGTAGATGAATGGGTAGGGAAATTTTGTATATGCACACAATGGAATATTACTCAGCTTTAAAAGAGAATAAAATCATGGCATTTGCAGATAAATGAATGGATATAGAGAATATAGTGCTAAGTGAAGTAAGCCATTCCCAAAAAACCAAAGGCCTAATGTTTTCTTTGATATGAAGATGCTGACTCATAATGGTGATGTGGGGGGAGCATGGAAGGAATGGAGGAACTTTAGATAGGGCAAAGGGGAGGGAGAGAAAGAGAGGGGAGCATGGGGGTAGGAAAGATGGTGGAATGACTTAGATAGCATTACCCTAAGTACATGTGTGAAGACACGAATGGTGTGAAAATACTTTTTGTACAACCAGTGACTTGAAAAATTGCGCTCTATATGTGTAATATGAAATGAATTGCATTCTGCCATCATGTATAACAAATTAGAATGAATAAATAATTTAATTTAAAAAAAAAAAAAGGTCTAGGGATAGACCTGAGTGGTTGAGTGCCCCTGGGTTCAATCAAGTGCTCCTGGGTTCAGTCAAGTGCTGGGGGTATTGCTCAGTGTCAGGGCACTTGCCGATCTCATATGAGGCCCTGGATTTAATTCCTAGCACTGTAGGGAAAAAAAAGAAAAGGTAAAATAATGATGTTAGCAGATATTTTTGTTTTGTTTCATTTCTGCCATTGTAGAGTGTGTGTGTGTGTGTGTGTGTGTGTGTGTGTGTGTGTGTGTGTGTTTTGCTAGGGACGGAACCCAGGGCCTTGTGCATGTTAGTCAAGTGCTGTATCACTGAGCAGCATCCCCAGCTGCCATAATACTTCTGACCATTTCCTGAAGTGCTGCAGGCTGCCAGGTAAAAGAAAGGAAAACCCCACTAGTTACACACTGTCAATAGATTGCCCTTTTAAATTAGAAAAGGACCAAAGAGTAAGGATTGAAATTAAGGTTCCAAATCTTTGGTGGTGGTACAACACTGCTTGTATAGTGTATGTGAAACCCTAAGTTCGCACAAAAAGGAAAGAAAGAATTAATTAATTAAAATAACTCTCTTACATGGTCATCCATGAACTCTCTTCACCCCAAATGTCACAGAAGAGTCTGTTCCATGCAGTTTTTTCATCACATGTCCAAGGGTTACAATTGCCTAAGTATGTTGGTTCCCCTTCCTCACCTCAAAAATACCAGGAGGAAATGTTGTAAGTGGCTGGGTGCAAGCTCTGGAAAGAAATGTCATAGGCTATCTGCCTCTTGCAAGGACACTTCTGGGGAAGAACTTTCCTGCCAGTAGAGTTTGTTCATGAAAGTTCCTCCCTGGTCCCTCACCATGGCTCAGATCCCCAATTTCCCTGCAGCTTAGCCTCTGTGACAGGCCCCGCTGGGTCAATACCACAAATATCCCAGGGACCCCGGCTGACTAAGTGTGTACAATGCACAGGGCCCCTCACACACATGATCGCATCTACCACCACTTCAGACTCATTTTACACAGGAAGAAACTGAGTTTCAGAGGTGTTAGTAACACTAGCAACCAACCAGGCCTTGTGGCTGGGCAGCTCCCCAACATGGTGTCTCTGCGAAAGCCCAGAAGCCTCTGATAACCATTATCTGGAGGATTGCTATCTTATCAGTTGTCCTTTGTGAGGGGTGGTGCAGTGCTCCTGTGAGATACCCTGTGAGCTGGTCCTGGTCCCTGTTTCCCTTCAGTAGAGTCACTCCAATGTACTTCTTTTTATTTCAGGGTCTCATCATGAAAAATATGGAGATGACACCAAATACACTGGTCAGTATTCTGGTCTCTGAGGGGCTGGTTTGTGTGTGTTATTGTTTTTAAAGGTTGATGGTGGGTTCTCAGGATGAATGAATGGGTCACCTCTTGTGGTCTGGCCCCTGAGCCCCTCCCTTCAGAAGACCTCACATTTAGTACCCACCCTCTGGCACCTCACACAGAGGACTCTCAGGGTGCCCCAAACACCAAGGCTTAGGACACCATGTTTTTGGTATTGGGGATTGAACCAGGAGTACTTTACCATTGAGCTACATCCCCGGCCATTTCTTTTATATTTTATTTTGACACACAGTCTCACTAAGTTGCTTAAGGCCTGAGGCTAGCCTCAAACTTGTGATCCTCCTGCTCAGCATCCCAAGTCAATGGGGTTACAAGCTTGCGCCATTGTGCCTGGCTGGGACACCATATTTTTAATCACCCAGACAAAGAAAGAAAAGTAAGTATACCATATCTTGTGAAGAAAGGTCTTTCCTTGAGCATGCACATAGCCAGTCTTTGCACCATTTTTTTTCCAATTAAAATGATTAAAGTATAGGCTAAAGGCCAGAAAGGAATGTGAGAGAAAGAAAGGCACCAAACTGATTTTTTTCAGGCAGCCCAAACAAGGCAAGACAACATTTTGCTTCTTCTAAAAGACCTGGGTTGTGTTTCTTAAGCTAGAAAGACAAACTCTGTGCTTGATCCAGGGCCTTTACAGGCTGACCAAGAGGGACACTACCCTGGGCCTGGGGCATGGGGATTAAGCATGTGGTCTTGCTTTCCTTGGTTTCCCTTAGGTGTCCTGCCCACTACTGACCTGACCCCCCCACCGCTAAAGCCCAAGAAGGTCTGGATTGTCTACTCAGCTGACCACCCTCTTTACGTGGATGTGGTTCTAAAGTTTGCCCAGTTCCTGATCACCACCTGTGGCACTGAAGTGGCTCTTGACCTCCTGGAAGAACAAGTCATCTCAGAGGTGGGGGTCATGACCTGGGTCGGCCGGCAGAAACAGGAAATGGTAGAGAACAATTTCAAAATCATTATCCTGTGCTCCCGAGGTACCCGGGCCAAGTGGCAGGCCATGCTGGGCTGGGAGGAAGCCACTGTCCAGCTGCGGTGTGACCGTTGGAAGCCCACTGGGGACCTTTTCACAGCGGCCATGAACATGATCCTGCCAGACTTCAAGAAGCCAGCCTGCTTTGGCACCTACATCATCTGCTACTTCACTGGCATCAGCAGTGAGAGCGATGTCCCTGACCTCTTCAACATCACCTCCAGGTACCCTCTTATGGACAAGCTAGAGGAGGTTTACTTCCGGATCCAGGATCTGGAGATGTTTGAACCTGGCCGGATGCACCGCCTCCAGGAGCTCACAGGGGAAAATTACCTGCAGAGCCCCAGTGGCTGGCAGCTCAAGGAGGCCGTGGATAAGTTCCGGGAGTGGCAGACCCAGTGCCCTGACTGGTTTGAACGTGAGAACCTTTGCTCCACTGATGACCAGAACCTCCCATCCCTGGACGAAGAAGTGTTTGAGGAGCCACTGCTGCCGCCAGGGAGCGGGATTGTCAGGCAGAAGCCCCTGGTGCGGGAACCTGCCTCCGAGGGCTGCCTGATGATAGATTTATGCATGGGTGAGGAAGGAAGGGGAATGTCAAGGGTGGTACCCCAATTGCAGCCCCCGGGGGAGGCCATCCAAACTGTGGTGCTCCCCAGAGAGCAGGTCCCTGCTGCTTGTGCAGTGGAGCTGGTTCCTCTTGCTGACAGCAGCGTGGCCAGCCGGCTGACCTTGGTAGAGGAGGGCGAGGCCTGCCCCCTGCTGGAGGATCGTGGCCTCCAGAGAAAGAACATCCTCTTCCTCCCCGTGGACCCTGAGGACTCGCCTCTCTGCAGCACTCCAGTGACTTCACCTGGCCACCTCCCCGATGGTGTGAGGGAGCAGCTGGAGGGCTTGATGCTCTCACTTCTGCAGCAGAGTCTGAATAGCCAGGCCCAGGGTGCATGGGAAGATGCTGCCCTGGTCCTCAAGGACCCCTCCATACCCTGTGAGGAGGAGCAGCGGCAGTCCGTGCAGTCGGACCAAGGCTACATCTCCAGGAGCTCCCCACAGCCCCCTGATGGGCTTGGGGAAATGGAGGAGGAGGAGGAGGAGGAAGAAAAGGACCTAGGGAAGTCAGCTGAGCAGCTGTCTCCTGAGCTTCTGCAGGACCTGAGGAGCCTCCAGCAGCAGCTTTTTTTCCAAGATCTCCAAAAGAACTCTGGCTGGGACAGTGTGGAGTCAGAGAAGTTGGCTACAGAATAGCAGGCCGCTTCCTAGGGCCTCCCTGGTCCAGACCCTCCATAGGGTATTCATGTGCATGTGGGTGTACGTGTGTGTGTGTGTGTGTGTGTGTGTGTGAAGCATCTGCCTTTAAAATGTAGGTGTCTTATCAAGCATGGTGGCATGTCCCTGTGGTCCTAACTACTTGGGAGGCTGAGATGGGAGGATCAGTTGAGCCTAGAAATTCAGGATCAACCTGTGTGACAACAAGATCCTGTCTCAAAAATAAATTAAGGAAAATAAAACGTACACATCCTGATTCTGATCCCAGTACCCCTCCTTAACTTTTCTTTATGTGACCATCTGTTCATCTTGTGTCCCCACAAGAAGTCACAACCCATTCCCAGGAACTCGTGGATGAGTCATTCATTGATTCATTCAGCATTTATTTGGCACCTACTGTGTGCCAGGCATTTGGGATACAAAAGTATATTACACATGCCGTGGCCTTGGCCACCAAGGAGCTTAACATCTAGTGAGAACCAAAAATTAGCAAGTGTGGAATGGGGATGAAGGAACAAGGTATAAAGACTGAAGAGAGGCCTGGCAGGGCCCTGGCCCAGGGAGAAGCTGGTTTGGGGGAATGTCACAGTCCCAGGGAAGGGAGCAGCCTGGGGGATGAGTGCTGGTGGGGGGGGGGTGGCAGGAGAGATGTGGATGGGGAGGAAGCCAGAGCTCGGGGTGGAGAGAACCTTGTAGGCCAGGCTGGGAGCTGGGACAGCAGCCCAGAGGCCTGCTGGGGACGCCTTTCATGAAAGGTGAGCTGGTGCCCTGCAGGGGAGGGGACTGTGTGCCAGACATGCCTGGAAGTCACCTCAGATCAGTTTTAAAAGCAGACAGGATAGAGCGTGTGATGTGAAACCTAACAGCATTCAGCAGGGAGAAGAGTCTGGAATCCTGAGCTCACTGACTGGCCACCTGTCAGTGGGAGGGCTGTGGCCCAGCATTCCTCAGGGCTGCCTGCCTGGACCCTGGGCTGAAGCCCTGAGCTCAGGAAGCACTGGGCAGGGGGGGCAGAGTGAGGTGCGGTGTGGGGCGGGGAGGGAAGGCAGTGGAGATCTAGGCAGGCCCTTTGGGGACAGGGAACGTGTGCTGCTGTGTACCTGAAGGTCTGAGGTTCAAGACAGCATTTGAGGAGAGATTCAGGCTCCAGTTTGAAGGCAGTTTTCCTCAAGCGCCTTCTTGGGGTAGACGGGAGCTGAAGAACACACAGGGATGCCTCCGACCCTGGCCTCGAGTGCTGTCCACTCTGGGCATCAGACCTTCATGTCTTCCCAGCTTCAGCACAGAGAGGACTCTGATAGGACAAGAAGCCAACATCACAAGGCATATGTGCCTGGGCCTGTGCGTGCATGAAAGAGATTCAATAAAAAGTTGTTAACTCTGCCAAGAATTCCCACTAGTTATTTTGAGTCACATGTTACCGTAGATCTATTCTTTCTTGCAGACAGATTTTGCCTAGCAGCAGCAGCAGCAGGGCCACCAAGGCAGTAAGTACCAGCGTGTGCCCCATACTCGGTCCAGCAGCAGCAGCAAAGGACCAGAAGAGGGAGAAAAGGAATCAACCCCTCCCAACCACCAGCCTCTGAGGCTCCCTCTCTCTTCTCTAGTAATCCTGACAGTGAGCATCTTGGATCAAGATGCCAACCAAGCTTCCTGTGACATTTCCTCAGCTCCCAGTAGATATGTATTAGAGGTCCAGAGTGCAGAATACCATGGCGATTCTGCTTTTGCTAAAGCAGGGCCTTGCCTGACAGCAAAGTGACCCCAAGCCACTGCATGGTTCCCTGAAGCAAACTCTACATCTTGATCACAAACCTTGAGTTCTAGCTGCTTTTTGAGGCCTTATCAATAAATGTCCTCAGAGCTGGGCATGGTGGCACACTCTGAAATCCCAGCAGTTTGGGAGGCTGAGGCAGGAGGATCAAGAGTTCAAACCCAGCCTCAGCAACTTAGTGACACCCTGTCCCTAAAGTATAAAAAAAAGGCTAGATATGTGGCTTAGTGGTTAAGGACCCCTGGGTTCAATCCCAGGTACCAAAATAAATAAAAATAACAAGAATGTCATTTTAAAAAAATAATAAAATCAATTTTTTTAAAAAGGGAAAAAAAAAGAATGTCCTCAGTTGCCGTTGTCTCTTAAGTCCCCTTTATTTCCATGGTTACTGATTTTTTCACCTAATATCTTTGTCAAGATATACTTGATTTTTTTAATTTATTATTTACTTGTAATTGGACACAATACCTTTATTTTATTTATTTTTATGTAGTGCTGAGGATCGAACCCAGGGCCTCACACATGTTAGGCAAGCACTCTACCGCTGAGCCACAACCCCAGCCCAAAATATACTTTATATACCATACAATTCATAGGTGACTGTACAACTTAGTGATGTTTAGTGTATTCAGGATTCAGCAACCATCATCACAATCAAGTTTAGAACATTTTCTTACCCCAAAAAGAAACCCAGCATCCCTAGTCATCACCACCTAACTTCTTCATCCCTAGGTGACCCCTAACGTACACTTCGTAGATTTGCTTTCTCTGGACATGTCATACAAATGGAATAAAAAAATCTTCCTTCCTTCCCCCTCCTCCTCCCTCTCTCCTTTTCTCACTGTTTCCCAGGCCTTGAATTCCAAGGCTCAGGCAGCCCTTGCTTCAGCCTACAGGGCACCTGAGTTCACAGGCATGCACCGTGTGCTGGCTTCATTTCTTTCTTTAATGTCATTCCCTTGTTTCTCCTCACATTCCCTCCCCCTTCCTCAGAGCCCTCAATCTCCTTTGAGTCTTTGCTAACCATAAGTGCTGGAAATTATGTAACCTGAGTGTGGCATGTGTTATTGGCTGGATGCCAGGTCATCAAGAGCATGTATAATTAAAGCTGTGCCTAATTTTTTGCCTAACAAAAACCCTCTCACCCAAAAGCCTCTCCAACAACAGACGCCTTTAAGCTCTGCTTTTCCCACCCTCCTCTAGATAGAAGGCAGCAGAAGACCTTGGGGGTGGGCAGAAAGCACCAGCCAACGTGACCAAAATTCAGTGGATCATCTACCCATGACTGGTGTCTAGTGGACACAGTCACGCTTCCATCATGTACACTTCTGACTCATACAGAGAAATGTTATGCTTTTTCCTGCCTACTATCTTGACCCTAGTCAAAAAAAAAAAAAAAAAAAACACCATAAGGGCTGGAGGTGTGGCTCAGTGTTAGAGTGCTTAGTATGCATGAGGCCCTGGGTTCCACCCCAAGCACCACAAAAAGAAAAGGAGGCACAATTAGATGATCATCTGAACATCAATTGATAACAGTAGTGCTTCAGTTCAAAAAGCAGTTTTTCTTTCCTTCTTAGGTAGATCCTCAAAGGTGTTTAGGTCGCAAAGAGTTTGTTCAAGCAGGGAATCCCTGAATGTGCATTTTTTTCCCCTTTGAAAATTTAACAGGGCACAAGGGTAAATATGTATTTACAATGCCATGAACAATTTTAATTCTTTAAAATATTTATTTTGTGGTACTATGGATTGGGGTGCTCTGTCACTGAGTTACATCCCCAACTCTAAATTTCGAGACAAGATCTTGCTGGATTGCTCAGGACCTATCTAAGTTGCTGAGGCTGACCTTGAATTTGGATCCTCCTGCCTCAGCATCCTGAGCCACTGGGATTACAAGCATGTGCCACAACACCTGGTTGAAGGCAGTTTTAATTCTATAATGTTTGGACTCTGCAGTTGAGGCCCTTCTTTCCTAAATAAAGCAGAAGAGTATCAAGCTGTGTCCTGCCCTAGCACTTCCGGAGCTGGCCTGCCAGCTGAGGGCCACCAGACACATGGGCTCCAAGTTATGCAGGAGATCAAGGGTCCAAGAGAACTGCAGCACAGGCCCTGAGTCTAATAAGCCAGGTATGGTGGACAAAAAGATTCCTTACATAGAGGAGACAGTTACCACAGGTCTGCTGCTCTTTGGCTGAGTGACCAATTAGGCCATCTTCCTCAGGCCTCAGGTCACTCTAAATTGGGGATGGCAGGAGTATGTATCTCACCTGGTCTTGTGAAGAGTCTATGAAATTCATGAGAGGCACTGAGGTGTCCCACACCCAGGAAGCACCCGATCCATGTTAGCCACACCTGGGTCCAGTATACCCCTACCTTTGCAGGAAGCCAAGTGGCTCCTTAGTTCTCTTGAACACTGACCTGATCCTGGGGCAGAGCAGCTTGTGACCTGGGGTGCTGATTGGCTGCTTCTCCTGCTGTTATTTATTGCTTCTTCCCTCTAGTTTGCTTTTCCATATTATAAAAGTAATCTATGCTCCAATTCTTGGTATATGTTAGGTGCTCAATAAATGTGTGAACTGAGTGAATATGTGCATGTGGGAAAACGGCAACAACACAGAGCCTATAGATTATATTACAGAAGAATATAAAGCACCTACCTCCAACCCCACATGTACGCCCCCACTTCCTCCATCATGGCACTCCCAATGGCTCCCAGGGTCATCTTGCTTTAGGCCACTCCCCAGCTCTCCATGCCTGGTGGCCTCCCCTGGTCCTGGCACTGGACCTCACTCTTGTCTATTTAGGGCGGTAAACACAGGTGGTCACCCAGTAGAGCCAGCCTTGTCCATTCATGGAACAGGGAGACCCCCTGTCGTGATGTGAAGGGTGACAAGAAGTCGTGTCCAACATGCCCCTACTCCCTGGTACCTAGATTCCTTTCGGAGGAGGAGCAGCCCCTCGGGTTGTGAACACTGCAGTAGGAACTAGCTTACTGGATCCTTCCAGATGTAATTGTGACCCAAGAGGAGGAGGGGAGGCAAGCTGCCACTGGCCAGCCCCCCACCTGAGCCCTCGCCCTAATAGGGTGTCCCACTGGTTGGTTTTGCTCACCTCTTCCATGGGACTCACATAGAAACTGAAAAACAGCCCTGCTTTTTAGCCAGTACTGAGCTTCAGTGGAGGGAAAGGTGAACTGGAGGCTCCCAAGGTGCTGCAGATTCTGGAGGTGACAGACCTGGCTTCCCTTGCTTACTGCAGTGTGGCATTCACAAGCCTCCTCATTTTCCCAGGCCTCAGGAAAACAGATGACAAGGAGAAAATGAGCTAATCCCACAGTCAAGGGTGGGATCTGTTTCTGTGTTCCTTCTTGGAGCCAGCCCTGAAGGGTCAGATTGTCCCCTGCGTTGTCATGCTGGTCACCAGAAGCTCTTCTCCACCTTTCCCAGGGGCGTTCTGACATGTTCCAGCTGACCAATTGGTGAGCACCAGCTGACCTAACTCTAGTACACAAATGCAAAACATGCTTAGCCAAATTAATCTTATTTTACACCAGATTTAAGAACGTGTTCTTATATTGTTCTATAATTGTTCTGCATGTCAATTTGGTCCCCAGTTGGGATTATCAGTGTCTTGAGGAAAAGTGCCATTTTAGCAAATGTCACCTCATCCACTCTTACCACAGGTCTGTGAGGTAGACTCTTTGCCCCTGTTTATAAATGATGAACCAGTTCCAGGTCTGGGGATTGCCCAAGCCACACAAACAGATTCCCTGGTTCTTCCACGCTCTGATTTGGCCTCCTGTACCCTGCTGGACCAGACTGCTACAAAGCCTTTGGAATAGCAGAAAGCAGTAGACTATAGAGTAACAACACAGAGTGGGGTGAATAGTACTGGCTGCCTTTGTGCTAAGAAAAAATTACTGTGGTTTTTTTTTTTTTTTTTGGTGCAGACCCAAGATTCTGCCTTAGACTTAATAGTTTCCTTCCTGTTCATAAATAAATAAATAAGACATGGCTGTTTCTTCTCATTCATACATAAGAATGCATGCTTCTGGCTGGGGCAAGAGTGATAAGGAAGGAAAGAGTATTTAAAATTGTTTCTTACCAGGCACAGTGGCACATGACTTCAGTCCCAGCCAATTAGGAGGCTGAGGTGGTAGGATTGCTTGAGCCCTAGAGTTCAAGACCAGCCTGGGTAATATAGCAATACCCCATCTCAAATGTGGCTCGGTGGTAGAGTGCTTGCCTAGTATGCATGAGGCACTGGGTTCAATTTCCAACACAAAAAAATAAATAAAGATATTGTGCCCATCTACAACTTAAAAAAATGTTAATTGTTTTTTTAAAAATAATTAAATATTTTTTTAAAAAATAATTAAATATTTTAAAAATAATTAAATATGGGGCTGGGGATGTGGCATGCGTGCGGCCCGGGTTCAATCCTCAGCACCACATAAAAAAAAAAGATGTTGTGTGCGCCGAAAACTAATAAAATAAAATAAAATTCTTTCAAAAAATAAAATAAAATAATTAAATAAAAATCTGTTTTCTCTAGCCTTTCCCCCTTTGGAAAGCTATTCTGGGAGAAACTCAGGCAACTGGGGGAGTCCCTCTCCACAGTTAGCCACACCTACAGAAGACCTGGCTAGAACCCCCAGCCCCAGGCCATAGCCTTCTGCCTCCCCAAATCACTCCAACTACCTAGCCAAGGTGTACCCACAATGTTTATACCAACATATGAAATGACAACAACGAATGTCACAGTGACATTTAAGAATTCAGTAAGGAAATCAGGACAGGAAGATCTTAAAACAAACCACACAGGAAGCTTGTCACAAGTCTCAAGTTTTTTATTTTCAGAACAGAGTCTGGTTTTATTTTTAAAAAGAGAAAGAAAAAAAAGTGATAAATGCTAGTGAGGTGCCACTTCCCTCCTTCTGGGCTCTAGCTCCCAGCTAGTTCTCTTCTACAAAAATCCACCAGCTCATTATCAGGGCATACTAAAAGGGAATGGTCTTAGCAAGATTGTGCTGCATGATTATAATCTCAGCTGCTCAGGAGGCTGAGGCAGGATGATTGCTTGAGCCCAGGAGTTTGAAGCAGCCTGGTTTCAAAGGGAGACCCCTTTTCAATCAATTGATAGTCTTTAGAGAGAGTCTAAATGGGTAAGGTTTGAGGGGTTCAGGTAGAGGACCCACACACATGTTCAAACGTCAGGAGCAGGCAGGTCTAGATTCTGAGCCCAGAGTTCTTTTCTGTAAACCATACTGCTGGCACAGGCTTCAGGGACAGCACATTATCCTGGTCATCAGACCCTCGGGGAACATCTCAGGTTTAATCCCTGCAATTTAAATGGCCTGGAATGCAAGGAAAGGGGGCTGGGAATGTGGCTCAGTAGTAGAGCATTTTCCCCAGGAAAACAAATAAAAATAAATATTTTTTTAAGAGAAGCTTTAAGTAACATTTCTTATTGACACTGGAAAAGGGGGAATGAGTGAAAGACTCAAATAAAACATACCAAACTGGGCATGGTGGTGCATGTCTGTAATCCCAGTGGCTCAGGAAGCTCAGTCAGGAAGATCATGAGTTCAAAGCCAGCCTCAGCAACAGCGAGGCGCTAAGCAACTCAGTGAGACCCTGTCTCTAAATAAAATACAAAAATGGGCTAGGGAGTGGCTCAGTGGTCAAGTGCCCCCGAGTTCAATCCCCAGTACCCTCCACCCCACCCCACCCCACCCCCCAAAAAAAACACCAAAAGGAAGGGACCTGCCTCCTAAGCACAAATTAATTGTGCTCAATGTATAAAAGAGGATGCTGGGAGTGAGAGGGGGAGAAGGGACCTTAGGCAGGACTTGAGCAGGCCGGGCCTCTGCCAGAATTGGCCCCATTGCCATCATCTCCACAGACCCAGGGAAGTGGCAGCTCACTGGAACCTATCACGCCCCCAACCAAAACCCAACAGCACTCAGAGTTCATACCCAGTCACTCAGCAGGGAGATGGCCATCAAAAGAGTAGAACAAAGGTGGGTCAGGGGCCAGCCAGGGCCAGCCATGGCTCAGACATAATGTCCTTTCACAGTCACTGAGATTAGGTAGCAGAAAAACAGCAAAGCTGGAGAGAAGATATGGGAATAGCAGGAGCAGCTGTCAATTCCCACCTGGGCCTGGGCCCCAGAACCTTGAGTCCAATCAAAAGAAAAGAAGGGGAGTCAGTCTTGGGGTGGGGAGAAGGCAGAACAGATTTGTTGTCAAATCCAGCCAGCCAGTGCAGTGCAAGAAGGGTGAGAGCCCAGAGGGTGCTGACTGTAAACCTTTCCCCACCCTTGCCGGCGCAGAGCAGGGCAGGCTCCAGAGCACTCTGGTCAAGCTTTAGCCCCTCACGGATCTGTCCACATGGATGGCTTCTGCCCACAAGCCCCCAGGCAGTTGGGAGGGAAGAAACCCCAAGCATCCCCTTGGTTTCCAAAGGATCCCAGCTGAACCAAAACAAGAGGTTATTTTGGCTGGGTGTCCTGGCTGTGGGATTAGTGCACTGTCATGACTTGGCACTCTGGGCCCCTCCCTGTGCTGAGGACTCTAGAGAAGGCTAGAGACAATGCAGTAGGAAAAGACCCTGCAAGCCCACCCCAGCCCTGGTGCCAACAGCACCTGCTCTTCCAGCCTGAGGCTGCAAACACATCCAGAGAAGAAGCAGGGAATGTTCCACAAGTATATCCTGGCTGGCTCCTCTCCTACCTACCCTTACAGAGAGCACTAAAATCAGGGCTTTCAAGAGACCTAAATACAAAGAATGCTACACTAGGAAGGTAACTGAGGCCAAGAAAGTAAAAATAATATATTACTCAAAGACAGTGAGTGAACGAGAATCTATGTCTTCCGGATCCTGGCCCAGGGTTTGTTACACTACATAGAACTCCCAAAGCAGAAGAAAGAAGGGGAACCCAAAATTCCTAAAATTTTGCCCCCATCCCATTCTATTGTGGGTGGGGGAAAGTGAGTATTTCCTGGCCTTGGTCCCTACCTTCTTCCTGCACACTTACCACCCCTAAAAATACTTATCCTGCCTCAAGGATTCCAAGAGTGATGTCCCACCCCAAGTTTGTAAGTGGGCAACCCTGCTCGTCTCTTGTCATCACCTTGGTAAGAGGAACAGTATGAGGGAAAGCTGGCCAGGCAGGGAGGGTTCTGCAGCCTGCCTTGTTCCTAGTGAGTTCTATAAGCAGAGCAGAGACAGAAAGGTCACTGCCGCTTTCCTGATCTATACTAGTTCCCTGGAGGAGAAACAGATGGGGACTGGGAGTCCTACTCCCCTGGGTCCATGGGAAGTCCAACTTCACATCAATCCAGACACTAAAGCTGCTTCTCTGAGCCAGTTCTAACCCAGCCAGCACCAGTACAGGAAGGATAAGCATTCTGGATGCAGATGAGGAAAAAAGATGGGCAAGCCAATGGCTGATACTCCACAGACCCTGTAATCACTGGCACCAAACCCCAATGGGACCTGGGGCCACACTGAACACAACTTTTATATTTTCTTTATTTTTTGCAAGCAGCATCAGTGCATGATGCAACAAAGTGGAAAGCACAGAGGTAGAAATGCTCACTCACCCAAGAATGGGTGCTGTTTGGTCCTTAGAATATGGATCCCTCCTTCCAAGCTAAGAAGGGAGGAGTGGAATTGAGGAAGACCTGGGAGAGCTTCTCCCTTGAGGAAAGCAACTGTGTAACTCCAAGGCCCACTCTCCTGGGGATTCGTGGTCAAAAATTCAGGCAGGAAAGAGGAGATTGATGGTAGTGGAGGGTGGGCAGCAAAATTTTCCCCAACCCCCCTTGTGGTTGCAAGGATCACAGGGTAGACACAAGGAAACAATGCCTCCTCCCCCCCGCCCCCCACCTCTCTCTTCATCTACTTTCTGGAATAGATACACAAGGAGAAGAGTGGATTTGGGGTCAATGGCCTCAAACCACAGCCTAAAAGATGCTGGTGAAGGCCCAAGGTGCAGCCCCCCTGCCTGGATAACCCCCTTTCCTCCATTCTCTCCCACAATGGATGGGAATTTGGGTGAGGCAGGGAAAGCAGGAAGCATAGTCATCCAGTCCGTGGAGGTCAGTACTGGGGTAGGATATGGAAAAAGGAGCAAAGGGTAAGTGGACCCACCTCCCCCACGGTTACTGCTCCCTCTGAGTTGTCTTTACCTAAAGTGTGCAAAAGGATGTGCTGGCCCTCAACCCTAGTAAAAGTCACCTCTTCCCAACAAAGCCTAACCAAATCCCGGGAACAGGTCTGAGGCCATAGGGCCTGGGGCCTCAACCTCAAAGCAAGGCTCCCTCTCATTCACTCCCTCAATTCTGGGAAGCAACAGCCAGTGTGTTGACATAACCATGGGGACCCCCCTCGTTCTCAGAGATGCAGTGGCCCAGCTGGGAACCTCCCTGAGGTGGTGGCGGCGGGGGCGGTGGGGCAGAAGGTGGAGCACCATAACTGCCTCTGGCCCGACTAGGGGAGGTCCGACTCCCCCGGTCCCAACAGCCCTCTAGGGCCTCCAGGCCTCGGCAGCCAAGGAAGAAGAGGTTCTTGAGCATAAAGATGGAGAGGGGCTGCTGGTAGCTCACCACTAGGAGGCACCGCAGCGCTAGCAAGGGCACGTCCACCAGGCAGCCACCTAGTAGGCGCAGAAGGCGGCTGCAGCTGCCAGGGCCTGAGGCCTGGCCCCAGGACGACGCTGCCACCGCTGTGGAGTTGAGCTCGTAGAGCCAGAGCACCGGCGAGGCAAGGGTGAGGAAGTAGACAGAAATAAGCAGGTATCGCAGGTGCGCGGGCAGCGGCACCCGCCCTTCCAACATCAGCTCCACCAGGGTAAAGCTGTCGAGCAGATCTAGACACGTGCCCAAGAAGCAGCCAGCAGCGCGGTGTTGCTGGGGCTGCAGGAGCAGGGGTCCCGCAGAACCTGGGGGCGCGCCCGCCTCGCTGATGGCCCGCACCAGGCTGTAGAGCAGGGGCACCGACAGCGCCATGGTGAGGCGGAAGCCGGTGGTGCCGAAGGGCGCGCGCAGCTCAATGAGGTCCAGGATGGACGTGCCGAGGATAAGCACCACCTTGGGCGTGAAAGCGATGGAGTAGATGAGCCAGGCCAGGTAGGCGAAGGCGAACTCCCCCGCCGTCCCGGTCGCCCCCGGGCAGCTCCCTGGGCCTCCGGCGCTCGCGCGTCCGCCGCGCGCCTTGGCCCCGGCCGGGGCCCCAACAGAGGCTGTTGAGGCAGCGGGCAGGTGCAGAGGAGGCGCAGCGTGGTGGTGGTGCTGATGGTGGTTGTGCGCGACAGTCACCGCGCCGCCCCGACGGCCCCGGCTGTTCTTGACGAAGAAGATGGCCCAACCCACCACTACCACCAAGTCGGTGGCGATCCAGGAGCACCAGTACAGGTCAGTGACGGCGATGAGATACAGGTCTAGCAGACCGCCTTGCGCCAGCAGTAGCACCACGGACAGCGCCTGGTAGCCCCAGCGGCACCCCGGGCTTGGGGTGCAGCCGCGACGCCGACCCCTGCGGCCAGACCGGGCCGGGCGGCCGCAGCAGCAGCAACACGAGCAACAGGAAGCCCCGCTGCCAGTCCCGGTACCGCCCGCGCCCCCGGCGGAGCGGCCCCCTGAGCCCCCGACGGCCCCAGCCGCTGCGCCCCCGCCGAAGTCCGCAGCCGTCATGCTGCAAGAGGAGGTGGGCGTGGAAGTGGAGGATGTGGTGGCAGTGGAGGAGGAGAAGGCGCCCGGCGCGGAGTCGGCGGCCGCTGCGCCCCCCTGAGCCAGGGGTCCCGGGAGCGCGGCGGCGGTGGCCGGCACCAGTGGCTTGCTGATGCTGATGCTCTCGTCGTCTTCCTCTCTCTCTGCGCCGGTGCTGCTGCTTGGGGAGCAGCCGCCCCCGCCGCGTCTGCCGCCTCCTCCCCCCCGGCTGGTACTGGTGCTGGTGCTGCTGTCGCCGGAGCCTCTCCGGCCGCGGGAGGAACCCCCCCGGAGGAAGAGGGGCTGTAGCCGGGCGGCGGCAGGGGGCGGCGGAAAGGAGCCAGACGAGGATGAGACCGCGCGAGGGTTGCTGAGCGCCGGGTGCATTGTCCTCCCAGGGGCTCCGAGGTCTGCCCAGCTGCTCCCTCCCCGCCAACCTCGGGCTGGCGAGGCGGCCGAGGGGAGCCGGGGCCAGCAGCCGCCGCCTCCTCCCCAGCTGCCGGGACTCGTACCCGGGTTGGGCAGCACCGAGATCCGGACTGGAGCCACAGGACTGGGCGAGCCGAGCCCTGGGTGGCTGGGAGCGGGGGGTAGGAGAGGAGCTGAGCGGACCGCGGGGATGGTGACGGCGGGCGAGGCGGGGGCGGAGGCGGGGAGCGAGCCCAGCCGACAAAAAAGGGAGCTGGCGGCGGGGAAACCAGGACTGGATTCAAGGGGGAGAGGAGAGACCAGAGGAGGAGAAAGCCTGGCTTGCTGGATCAGAGGGAAGAAAAGGAGGAGGAGAATGCTGAGGCATTAGAGTCGGGGTGGGGAGTAGTGTGGGCCTGGAGGATGCAAAGAAAGGCGCAAGTATCCGCCAGAATGAGGAGGAACGAGGCCGACTGGTGGGGGCGACGGTAGGAGGACATTAGCAAGCACAGGATTCCTAAGGAAGTCCTTTGGGAGTTCCACTAGCTGAATCCTTGGAGCATCCATCAATGGTTGGATGACTTTGGTCTTGTTATAGACGCCAAGCACAAGACTCAGGCCACACGTTCAGGCTTCTGCACCTGGTCAGCGTAGCTCCTATTGCAGTCAGCAGCAGGACAGCTTCCCCCACCCCACCCCACCCGGTGCCCTTTCCACTGGGCAATCCTGCCTCTCTTAAGGCATTAAAAACTGATGGAGGAGTCAGGCAATACGGATTTTTAAAAGGCAGCCCTAAAAATATAGTTCTGCATATTCATGCACCCAGCACTGAATTCTGGGTCATCCTCAAGGAAGCTCCATTTTCCAGTGGATCAGGAAGTTCCCTGAATGTAAGTATTTAGGGAGAGAGAAGGAATGAAGGGATTGATGGAGAGGCCCCCAGTCAAGCAAGGCTTTGGTATTTATTCTCAAAGGTTTTTAAACAGGTGTTGGAAGTAACAAAATGTATCTAGCACAGAGGAAAACAAAGGGCCATTAAGACACATGGTCACCTGATAAAAACCAAGGCTCAAAGGGGAAGCCAGGGAATGATACAACCTGCCAAAGCAGAGAAGGAACAGTGAATGGACTATGTCAGCCACCCTGCACCAACAAGCTCAGAGTTCATACTGACTCACCCACATGGGCCTTAGACCATAGCATGGGCTGTATATCCAGGCAGACACTCGGCAATAGGGGAATAGGAGCTTTCTATGATTAGAAATTTCTATGACTAGAACATTTGGGGCTCAAGAAAGATTTGGGACTCCTATATAATCCCATTCCCAGCCCTCATTGAAGCTAGGCAGGAGGCTTGCCTGTATCTTCCTCCTCCTCCACATCCTTCAGGCTGCAAGCTCCCCACCCTGATTTCATTATTTTAAAGCTGTGGTGGCGGGCTCATCTTGGTAACACCACATAGCACCAGGGAAGTGATGCAGTGGGACTACAGTGGTTACTTGCCCAGCCTGCATCCCTAAATCTGCCTCTTGGATAAGGGTCAGTTTCAACCAACCCTGCTTTCTCCAGCCTGCACAACTAATCCATAGCAGAGTTGGGATTTAGACCTCATGACCTGCACTGTTTCTCTTTCTCCTTGGCACAGGCAACCTTTGAAAAATTCCATGTTCAATTACACAAGGCAGAGCAGGTGTAAGGATGAGAGGAAGTGGATTGGAGCTGTGCTCCAACTCTGCCACTTAACAGTCTGAATGAAGTTAGCCTGATTATTTCACCTAAGCCTCAGTTTATTGGTAAAACTTACCTTAAATGGGTTGTTATAAGTATTGAGAGATCATGTGTGTAAGTGGCTTGGCCCTGGGTATGGTTCAGAGCATACACTCAGTTAAAGGCAGCTAGTGGTACCATAATTCTGGTCAGTTCACATTTTAGCCACCTAAGGAGCATTTACCCATAGCAGGGCCACCAGTGGCTACTGTCTGGATTGGATTCCTTCCCGAAGCCACATTCAGAGTTCTGCTCCCACACAGCTCTACACTTCCATCAGTGCCAAAAGCAAAGCTGCTAGGGTGTGAGATTCAGCCATTCTAGCCAGTGCTAATATGTGGGAGGGTGAGACATGGGGCAAGATGGGGAACAAGAGCTTAGCAGATGCAGGCTCCACTGGTGTGTGCATCACTACAGGTCCAGCAGACGTCAGGGTTAAGCCAGTCCAGGTAAAGAAGTGGATTGGGGAGCTGCCAACTGCTAATGGGAGTGATTATAGCCAGTCTTTGAGTCTCCCCTAGGGAAAATACAGGCCAGCAGCTAACATGGAAGCTGGCCCAAGACTGGCCCAAGTCAATGAAGCAACTGAAGAAGCAAAAGCAGCTGATGAAGCAAAGAACTTGGACTCCTGAGAGAACACAGGAGACCCTGCCCACTCACACACACTCCTGGCCCTCCCCTCACAGGTACCTTTGTGAGGACAGATTTCCTCCCTGGTTACTTGAATTTCAACTGTCCTGTGAAGTTATTCTATGGATTTCTAGGAAGTGATCTGTCAATCAGGAAGATTAACTTTCTGTAAGAGATTCTTTAGCCCAATTTCATTTAGCCTATAGACCCTAAAAACAAGAACAACAATAATCACCATGAGAAGCAGGGTGCACTCTATCACTCTATGGAATTAGTTGGTGGCTGGAATACTGGCGGGAGCACCTCTTTATACTTGGCTGTTTCCAGCCTCTTCTGTATCCCTCCCCCACCCCCCAACCCCCTCCACACACAGCCTTTGCTTCAGCCTGGAAAGGGATTAGCAAAGGTATAATAAGGATATGACAGAGATAGCTTGGCGTGGTGGCACACACCTATAATTCCAACTACTTGGAAAGCTGAAGTGGGAGGATTTGAAGTTCAAGACCAGCCTGGGCACCTTAGCAATACCATTCCAAAATAAAAACAGCTGAGGATGTAGTTCAGTAGTAGAAATCCCCTGTGTTCAATCCTCAATACTGGCAGGGAAATAAAAAAGTAGCTGGGTGCAGTGACAGGTCCCTGCAATCCCAGCAACTTGGAAGGCTAAGGCAGGAGGATTATAAATTGAAGGCAACTTTGCAAGATCCTGTCTCAAAAAATAAAATAAAATGGATATGTATCTCAGTGATAGAATAACCCTGGGTTCAATGTCCAGTGCTACACACACACACACAAAAAAAAAAAAAAAAAAAAAAAAAGATGTGACAGAGATAAGAGGCCAGAAGACAAAAAGTCATTCTCATACCTAAAGTAAATGTAAACATCCCATAACGATCTAGAAAAGGAAAGACACAGTTCCTGAGCACCTTGTAAACACCTAGGGCTGATGCTAGATGGCTTACATTCAACACCTGGAAGCCTAGAGTCAGAGAGGTAAAGCAACTCACTCCAAGTCACACAGCTAGTTAAGGGCAGAGTTAGGCTTAGATGCAGACTTGTGACTCAACTCAGTGCTTTCATCAGCTATAACTCTCCTTCTCACAAACCCAAATGGCAGCAGCTCATAGGCATCCGGGGGACAGGAACAAACTAAACAGGTATCAATCCAAAACCATTTCCCTAAAGATCTGTTAAGTGTTGGGCACTAGACAGGGCTTCTTTAGTCACATAATATTCTTGTCATCCTAGAAGTACAAGGCCAGTGGCTCACCACTTTCCTGAAACAGAAACAGACAGACCAGGAGGGAGGAGAGGTGTCCTGGCCAGCTCAACAGTACAGAAGCCTCAGGGAACAGAGCCTTTCCTAGGACTAAGCCATGGTCCCTTCCTTTCTAATCCATTCTCTGGTCATCGTCAATGCCTCTCACCCTCAGAACAAGAGGAAAGGACAGGACCAAAGGGGACCATCCAAGGGTGTGTGGAGCCCACAGATGCTCCCTGAGTGAACATAAGAGGAGAAAAGACACAAGCTGAGTTCTCTGGCTTAGAGTCACACAATCACCATACACTGTGGCTCAGGAAGAGGGAACCCAGCGGGGGACGAGATGAAGAAGAAGGAGTCTGCGAAGCTTCAGCGTCTGAGGAACTTGAAGTCTCAAAAATACTGTGTGAGTTCTGAAAATAGGCACCACGTCTCTCCAATTCAGAGCTCTCTGGTATGCCCTGAGCTACTCCCTGGATGACTCACAGTGATGCCACCACCCACAGGGACAAAGGAGAAGCCTCTGCATCAGTGGCTCCACGTGTCAGCCCCTGAGCTAGGTGCTAGGGTTCCAGAGTCTTAAAAAGAAAAGTTAAAGGCAAGTTTTTCCTAAGAGGGAAACATAAGCAATAACACACAATAAAGTATTCTGACATTATGACCAAGTTGTACACGGGGTCCAGAACAGGTACAGATATGAGAGGGACAGTAAAGCCTTTGCTGGTGAGAGGTGTGCTGAAGGACAAGAAGACACTGAAGGACAGAAAGCAGGTAGGGATTGGGGGAGCATTCTAGAAGCCAGATGAAGAAGGTCGGGTGTGGGGTAGCAGGCCTTCGTGCTGGGATTTGAAGGACAAGGAGAACACGCAATGAAAGGCTGAAGAATGGGGAGGGCCACGTCACAGTGGGCCATGTCTGCCTGGCTGAGTTTGGGCTGCATTCAGAGGGAATAAGGAACTCTCAGGAACAGAAATGTAATGTGATCAGACCTGCATTTTAGTAAAAGTGCTTTGCAGTCGAGCACCGAGCACCGTAGCCCGCGCCTATAATCCCCAGCAGCTCAGGAGGCTGAGACAATAGGATCGTGAATTCAAAGCCAGCCTCAGCAACTCAGCAAAGTGAGACCCTGTCTCTAAAAAAAAAATTCCAAGAAAGGGTTGAGGATATGGCTCAGTGGTTAAGCGCTCCTGGGTTCAAACCCAGGTACCACACACACACACACACACACACACACACAAAAATGCTTTATAGAAATGGAGAGGAAATGGAAAGGAAATGGAGACACAGTCAAGTACAGTGATACACACCTTTAATCCCAGGTACTCAGAGGCTAGGGCAGGAGGATTACAAATTCAAGGCCAGTCTCAGATATTTAGCAAGACCCTGTCTCAAAATAAAAACGAAGAAGAAAGGCAGACTAGGGAAGCAGCTCAATGGTAGAGCACCCCAGATTCAACCCT